AACCGAGTAACTTGCTTTAACTTTCTCCAAACCCTACAGAGTTGCCAAGTCTGCCACCCTTCCTTTAATTAGCATTGAACTCTGGCCTATAGCAAACCGTGACCTGTAACCTGGGGACAGATCCCCCAAAGCCTCTGAACGTTGCTGCTTAAAAGCTACTGCAAACTGAGGGCAAATTGCAATCTTTTATTTGTTTTGGTTACTGGGGGTCATCTTGTAGTCTTTGAATAACCATCTCTTTCCCAGCCTGTGCATGAAATCTGAATGCTGCCTTCTGCCACCTCCTGGCGAGATGACAGGGCTCTTGATTTCCAGGATCAAGCCAGGGCCAAATTGTGTGCATACATACCACTTTCAACCTTTTATCCTGTTGTCTTTGAGTGTCACTCCTTTTCTAAAACATGTCCTTTTATTATTTGACAATCTTGTTCATTTGCCACCTCTTCCCTCTGGGTTAACCAAAAGCTGTATCTATGCTCTTTCTACCATTTTAGTTTGAATGTACTTTTCCCCATCCTTTCAGAAAGGGACGTTTTGCCAGGTCACGGTACCCTGCTATATGCTGAGGGGGGCGGTTTCTTTGTTTTGTTTTGTTCTTTTAAAAAATTCCAGCCAAAACCAAAGATTTCCTAATGATTGTATAAACTCAAAACAAACAAACAAACCAAAGACAAAGGGCATCTTCAGCACCAATCCAATTCGGGAAGCCATCTTTTCTGGGTGTGCAAGAGATGAATCCCAAAGTGGCTTTTGCCTTCCGGTCCAAGATGCAGTGGATGGCTTGATCTAAGATAATGTGGATTTGGTCAGCAAGGTAACTTTTCTCCCACTCTATTTGGGATGCAAAGTACTCTTATAAGATTACAAATCCAAGGGGCATGGAGAAAAGCTTGGAGAAATGTGATGGAGCTTTATATATTGGTTGTGAAGCTGAAGGCCTTGGTGCATGATTGGCTGCTCTGGTGGGTACTTTTAACCCTTTGTGAGCTGGGTGATAAATTGATTGATACATGCTAGGGTGCACTTCTGAGCTTCCCCCCGCCACTGCTTGGAAGAGGCTGTCCTATTGTGAGAAATTTTTTTTTCTTCTTTTCTGCTTTTTCCTTTTTGTTGTTTGTTCATTATTTTTGCAGCACCACTGTGCAACTATGCATTGTATTTCTCAACATTTTTGCTAGGTAGATGCCTATGACTTTTTAAACTTTGGGGGAGGGGGGGTTGCCAACGAAGGAACTTTTTACACAAATCTTTTAAATCTCAGTTAAGTAGGGGTGTTTGGTTCTAGGATCATACAAGCTCTATCCCAAAGCAAAATCCAAATGTTAATAATATTAGCCTGATGCAGATACCAAAGATAATTTCTTTCCTGCAGAACCTTAGACTTGTGTATTAAGTACAATTACCCAGCACTTGCATTAGTCTAACCTCAGTAATTCCAAAGCTTAGATGTATATTTTGGTATATTTCTGGGATATTAAAAATGTGTTTAAATTCTTGTTTGTTTCTGTGTAATGCTCTTAAAGTCATAGCATGGAGATAATTGATTGTCTTATTCTTAGTAGTTTGAAATAATAGTATTTTTGTATGTTTTGGGTGTGTCTATGTATGTATTAACACAATAGTTTTCACTGCCTAGGTGTTCATAATTGAGGAAAAATGTACATAATCTGTAATTTCCATCGGATTGTCAATTTAGATTGCATTTTCTCTTATTGCCATTCTGAACAGAGAGATTTTTTTTAAAGAGACAGCATGCTTATATGTATAAAATTGAACCTTTGCCCTACTCAGAAGGCATCGTCCATTCATATCCAAAGGTGAGATAAGAAGCCAGGTAAAGCCGTTCACTAAAGGGTAATCCATGGTTCTGATGTCATAACTTTTTTATTTTTGTTACAAGAGAATTATTTTGCTCTAAGGCACTCAATGGACGCATTGCTTAGAAAAATGTTTATTGCCCTTTCTCTTGTAAAACCTAGTATGTAATTTTTGTGGACTACACAGTTTCATGTACATTGATCAATAGATTTTTTCTCTCTGCTGATTCTTTTTTTAAATGATCGTTTGTATAATTTAATTTGGAATGTATGTCAACTTAAAAGAGTTGTTTACATATCCTACAACATTCATTCTTGCTTATGGTCAGTCTGAGATCCCTATCCTGAGGGAGATCAAAAGAATGCTGTCTCTTAAAGATATCTTCTGTTTTCCCCCTTGTGGCTGCCTGCAGGTGGCTTGTGGGCATTGAGAAACTGTTGATTACAGTGAATCAGGATAAAAATGGTAGGTTTTGTGTAGATGCATTTGTCTGCTGTAATTTTTATATATATGAGACTTACTGTAACTGTACAGTTCATTTCTGTTGTAAACGTCATTAAACCATTTTTCCAAGTGTTTTAACAATTATGTGCGTGTTTGTGATTTTTAAACAAGTACTAGAGACAAAATGAAATGCCAACATCTAGGTTTTCTACTATCTTAAATTGATCTTATTTTCTGCCAACTGTTGTTTTTTTTCCTCAGGGGAAGCAAAAATAGGTAAGCTTTTCTCTTGTTTGCGTTATAATCTAAAACAGGCATGTCAAACTTGCAATGTCACGTGACGTATCGTGACTTTTTCCCCATTGCCGGCAATGGGATGGGCGCAGTTTCGGCGTGATGCATCTGGCCCGCGAGCCGGCAGTTTGACATGCCTGATCTAAAATCATAATGGTATTCCTGATCATTTGATAACTGATTATGTTTTACAGTGGTTTTCCACTCTGAACTGAATGTATACAACTCAGTTTTTTTCACTGTTCAAAGTAGCCTCTTCAACCTGATATCCTCTAAATATACTGGACTACAACTCCTGTCTTTCCTAGCCTTTAACAACAGCTAATCCATTATCAAAGCATGTCAAGACAGAGTAAGCTATTCATAAGAAAGAGGATGAAGATACATTTTATATCTATGTACCCATATACACAGTTGCACATAACTTTTTAAAATTGTTGCCTTTTATGTTTTTAAACACCGGACTTCAAACTGACAATTAATTTGTTTAAGATTATTTCAGATATATCATTTTTTGATTTCCTTATAGAGAAGTATTTGTGATGTATGCTTTTTAAAATGTTATTAAATACATTAGAATGTCTGGTATAAAATTTTTGTAGCATTAGATGGATTGAATAAACATCAGCTGCTAGCCTATACAGGAGATTGAGTTAACTCAGTAACGTTGTATTTTCAAACTTTTTGAACTTAAGGATTGCCCTCTAAATGTCCAGTACCACAGTCCAGAATTTGCCATATCCCTGAGTCTTTTGAACTTGATAATATACATACACATTTAACATTGTTGTTGTTGTTAGTTGCGAAGTCGTGTCCGACCCATCGCGGCCCCATGGACAACATTCCTCCAGGCCTTCCTGTCCTCTACCATCTTCTGGAGTCCATTTAAGCTCACGCCTACTGCTTCAGTGACTCCATCCAGCCACCTCATTCTCTGTCGTCCCCTTCTTCTATTGCCCTCAATCTTTCCCAGCATTCGGCTCTTCTCCATTTAACATTGGAAAGGTAAAATATAAAAACTGCTGTGATCAGAATTCCAGCTGCCAACTCCCAAATCTTTGACTGGACATCTCAGTTCCACCTAATAGTGGGCAGATTACATAGCACTCCAGAGCATGGCTACAGAGTAGTATTCTCAAGTATGAGTTCTTTGCTTACTTTCAATGAAGCTTTGCTAGACTTACTGCCCCTTTTACAAAGCATCTTTTTAAAGTTTTGTTGCATTTTCTGTACATGATATAGAGATGAATTCAATCTTGACTCAAGTCCTAGGGGGAAAATGAGGCAGGTAAACATAAAACAGATACTCCAGGGAATTTAAATGTTTGCAGTGGGTTTACTCCCAGTCCTAATTGTCCCTAATTTTACTTAGACTCTCATTTCTCTTAATGATGTGTAACCCAGTTTTATTTTTTATTTCACTACTATTGTAATGTTATTCTGGTCTGTGTCTTTAATAAAAACTTTGCTTTATTTGGGAACTAAATTTGACATGATGTAACTTCTGTGCAAGCATTTCTGTTTTAAAGCTTGTGGCCCACTGTGGTTTTGAGAGGTTTAAATGACTTCGTGTTTCATGTTCCCCAAAGTTCCTATTCCATTTGACTTATTTAATCATTCAAAAATTATGTTGATTTTAACACTAGCATGCTGCATAATATCAATCTGCAGCATCTTTATTTTCTAGAATTACTTGAAACCTACATGCAGTCTATAAACTTTAAAAAAAATAGAAGTAATGGTCAGCTACTGCATACCAGTGTTTTATTTGGACATGCACTCACCTGCCCAGAAAAAAAAGGTAAGTACAGGTAATAGTATTCTTCAGAGGAGAGAAGCATTGCAGGTACAGTAAAATTTTGTAGGCTTGACCAATCCTAGCTCTTTCCTGCCATCTAGTGATCTGTTTTTTGCAGTCCAAATCTGGTAGCCCTAGCATTATTGCTAAGTTGTCTAGGGCTGCCATTTGTTTAGGAATATTATATATATTATATAGGTCATCCTATATATGGCAGCTGATTAACCAGTAGATGGCAAGAAGAGGGGTTTTTTGTATCTGCTCCTTCTAGTGGTCCATTTTTTGCAGTTCAGATACACCACTCTATACAGCCTATCAGTACCCATTTTGTCATGGTGTCCAAGATTATAATCTCCACATTCAAATTGTACCCACACATTCCAAAGGTAGGCAGGCACTCAGCTGAAGATGATGAAAGGGTGCAGCCTCCCAGGCAAATTCCCTGCTTTCCTTCCTTGCAGACCTTAACTATAGTTCACAATTTTATTAACCTTCTTAAAATGTGATCAGTAGTAATCAAAAGAAAGCTTGTTAGTGATGTCTGGTCAAGTTGTAAGTTTTTGTATTCACTGTAGTTAATATGGGTTGAAGTATGAGATATGTAGTCTCTAGGAACAATGTACATAATGAAGCAACAGACAATATACTTATCCATTATTTTAATCATGCAAAGACAGGCATAAACTGTACTGGTCCACTTCTTCATAGCACAAGAGTATTTTTATGATTACTGTTTAGTGACATCCAATACATTTTAACTATTCAAAAGTAAGACTTTTGTTCTTCGACAGAAGTAGTTCTAAGCCAAAACTAGTTTTGGTTGCTTTATTAAATGGGCTAGTTCTGTGTCCAGTTTTTTTGTTTTTGTTTTTTTATTTTACTTGCAGACTTCATCCAAACATAATAGTAAAGGCTGATAGCTTTTTGATGCTAAAGAAAATTACATTTTGTGGATAATGATCCAAGCTCATGAACAGAACTTTCAATTTTCTCATACACTGCAATTCAAAGTACCATCATCTTCAATATAAAAAGATATCTACCTTCAGTTAAGTTCTGAACTATTTAATGATTTGAGAGTTATCAATTTTAAAAAATGACAATTTTTGACATCCTTTGCCACCAGCCCTGCTGGTATGACTGATAGATTGTACAGTAATCCAAATTCCTGGAGAGTGATGAAAGGTTCCAGAATATATCCTCTTCCCCTCCCCTTTCCCCCAAAAGTTCCCCAGCTATCTTCAATTAAAAATACCTTTCAACACATCTATAAGGAAAGAAAATATGTTGGTTACTTTTCACCTTAGGAAGAAAAATATTTTTTTCTTATTTAATTATGCAGTGAATAGCAATCTCAACTTCTGCTCCTAAATATGAGCAACTATACATTAAGCAGAATCTTTAAACATATGTACATTTTTTTTAAAAAAAAAACCTAGGATGTTATTTGGAAATGAAATATGGGTTTTGCTGACTGTACAATAGCATTCTTCAAACAAGGCAATGGCGTTGCTGAAATGAACTGTCCTCTTTAGTTGCTACCATTCCACCATAAGGAATGTTCTTTCTTTCTTCCAGGTGTAACTAATGAGAATGCATTGGCTTCATTTGAAGGACATTGTATGTGTCCTTTGTTGCTTGGCTGAGGCCCTGATAAAGAGAAAATATATGATTAGAAAACAAATAATTAGACTTTATTAACCATAGATTCAGATTCAGTGTTGCCTTTAGCAAGGGTACTAAATCTAAGGTCTGATAGCAACATTTGTAAGAAGAGAAGAATCCAACTACTTCCTAATCATCTTCCCTTGTACATCTTTCTTGCAAGCATAGGCAGGCAATAGGACCAAAAGTATTCAGAGAATGAAGGGGGGAATAAGAACAGTGAATAAATTGCTTTAGACAGATCTCAGTGAATTAAGAGTTAAAGAAATTACAGGGAGGGATTCTGTTGTTATCTTACCTGATAAAGAATATCATTGCCTTTGCCACAATGTCTCTAGAAAAGAAAAGGCCAGGATTAATAGACTTCAAGGGAGAAGTCAAGTGGGGAATTAGTCTGGAATCTCTACATAGGCACAGGAAAGCAAGATCAGACCCCTCCCCTTTGAATGTCATTAAACCTTGTCTAGCCCAGGTGCAAACCACCAGTCTATGAATTGTATTATAGGCATGAGCAATAAAAATAGCTAACTGAACTCTTGTGTGGTATAATTGTTCGCACAACCAGCATGTATTTATGATGTTTGCAGCATTCAGGGTCACATGATTGCCATTTGCAACCTTCCCAGTGAGTTTTGATAAGCAGTCAATGGACAAAGCCACATTTGCTTAAGGTTCACATGATTCGCTTAACAACTATGGTAAAAAGGTTGTAAAGTCAAGTGTGATTCACTTAATGACCACATCACTTAAATGGAAATTCTAGCTCTAATTATAGTCATAAATTGTGGACTCCCCCGTATTAGCCTGTTCCAACAAGGGCAACATTTTTGTGATTGTTCTTCACAATTTTACCCAATTTTACCTGACAGAGATACTATGAAAAAATTATAATCAGAAAACACAAACTACAAAATTGTCTTCTGTTTTGTACGACTATTGTAGATAAGTTTATGCTGATAAGACAGCTTCTCCCTAGCTGGTACTTTCACATGTATTGAATTAATACTGTCATTATTCTGCATTATGGAACTGTAGTTCAATGCAGCTTAAAATAGGAGGCCCCAACCCCGGGTCCACAGCCCGGTACCAGCCATGGCCCTTTGGGAATTGGACCACGCATGCATGGGGCAAGTGTGTGAGCACGTGAAGCTTAATTTGTGCAAATGGTGAGCACATGCGCAAAACCGTCTCTTCTACCCCCACTGCTGCTGGTCCGCAGAGCTGGAAAGTTTAGGGACCGCTGGTTTCAAGGATAGGACTGGGAAAGCTTGAATAGAAATGCATGTATAAGATTTGTATAGATGCCCATTTTAAAATACAATTCTGGATGGCTCACAACAATAGTAAAACCCTGAATTACAAAAACCATAAAACAAAATCATAAAACATAACCAAAAGCCAGCGCCTCACTCATCTTGGGATACTCCAACAACCAATTTAGAGCAACCACATTCTACCCCAATGACTGGGTATGAAGCCCAGAAGGCTAAACTAGCAGGGGCCTGCCAGAAAAGGCACGCTTCAGAGATCCTACTAGATGGCAACAGTTCAGGGAAGGGACCTGGACGTATCTTCCTACATGTTGGCAGAAACCCCCAGGGACAGGCCGTCCCATGCCATGTAAGACATTAAAAGTAATAACCAGTACCTGGAAGAAACAGAGCCAGTGCAACTCATGCAACAAAGGTGTAACATGGGCAAACCTTGAAGTACCCACTCATCCAGAGAAGTGCAATCCTGCCTAGAGTCAACAATGACAAATTGTTGATTGCAGCTACCTTTTGTGCATCCAAAATGATAGAAAATATCACTTACCTCTCCTTTCTTTCCAATTTCACTGTATGCTTCACCCATCTTATCCCGCTGTAGGGACTAGCCATGGAAAACCATAAAACAGTATTAGTGAAAAGAAAATTTAAGAAAAATCTTAATTTTCTCTAGTGCCTTTTCTTACAGTTTCTGATGCATTTGATTAATCTTTTCACTCTGGCCAGTATGTCCTTGCTCTTCCCAGCCCAAATTGTAAGAAAGATATTTCCCAAAATGTGTTTATGGCTGCTATTTTAGCAAAACATTTACTCTTCATTGTTTTTTCTTTGTCAACCATTATCTCAGGCACTATTTATGCAGATTTGAGAGCAATGCTATTTGGAAAGCAACCATTCCCCATTTTTTTCCCCAATCTGGGATTTGGTTAAACTATAAACACAAGATTTGTTGCAATAGAGGAAGCCCAGGTTTCCTGTACATGCTCAATAGTTTGTTTTACAACATACAGTAGAAGTTAGATTCCTCTGATATAGAGAGCAAAATGTCCACAAAAAAGATGATCAATAATCTGATAAACATCTCCCAAAGTCCAGAGAAGGATGACTACTAACAGCTGTTCTTGCTGTCACTGTTAATCCTTTCAGGTAGGTCAGGTTAAAAAAACAATCCAGAAAAAAAACTAGAATTCTATTTTATTGATATAATCTTCAATAACAGAAGCTTGAAAACCTGACAGCTTTCTTTCCTGTTAAAGAAAAAGAAAGGCAAAATGGGGCGATCTTGAGTATCTTAAGACTCATAAACACATAAAAAAATAGACTGGTTGATTTTTATTTACTTATATTCCTTTCTGCATCATGTGAAGAAGTAGTTGTGTTACATCCCAACATAGAGAATTTTTTTTCCCAAAACCTTATTCACAAAACTCTGGAAAAGGTTGCATATGAAAACAACTTCTTTCCAAACACACACTCACACATATTCTTTCAAAATGCTGTGGTGGATGATTAAGTAAATTATAATAACAGTCAGTTCTTGGATCTACTCACAGTGTAAACTTTGTCCTGAGGTTTCTTTCTTCTGCGCTAGAAAGAAAGAAACATTCTCCTAATCATTCTTATATATACCAAGTCTGAAGACAAAAGAGAAGGCATGGTGGGAGAGCTGACAGAACAGTTATATCATGGTGGGAGAGCTGACAGAGCACTTGCATCAACATCCATTGCACAACTCTGATGCCATAACCATCAGAGAAGTCAGTTGTAGATTGATACTATTCATTCCTTAAAGCACAAGGGGGTCATGGTCTTGTGCTTCCTCCACCAAGCTATGCCTACATGTTTTGTGGCAACTGCCTGCACAGAAAAAATGGTGAAGATACCTGGTTTTCCACAGCCATTTCAAGATCTGTATCTGGTTTTTTTACTGCCAGAGAATCATATTCATCTCTGTGTCCGGTAGATAGTTTCTGAAGGAGAAGAAAAAAAGAGATACTACTAACTACAATGTCCAATTTCCTCTTGAGCTAACCAATTTTCCCCAAGTTAAGGATGGGTAATTTGGTTTTAGGTGAAGCACTAGACACAAAAAGTCAAGTAAATCTGTATATAGATAGTCCTCAATTTACGACGGTAATGAAGCCTGTCCATCACAGTCATAAGTTGTGACAATTGTACATGACTGGTGACGTTTTTTGCAGCGGTTGTTAAGTGAACTCTGAAGTTATTAAATTAATGAATGGCTCACTATGGGTCTCTTTGCCCAAACACAGAAGTAAATGTTTTCAGCAAAACCATGATAAAATAGTCACATGATCTCTGTGTGGGAGCCAGCCATTAGCCAGGTTGTAAGTACCCTGAGGAGATCCATCACAACTTTGTACAGTTACTAAGCAATCAGTCGTACAGAGGACTATCTGTATTTTACCTAAAGCTCAAGATAATAGCTCTTAACCACAACCAAACTTTTACAGTTGCAGAACTCTGAGCAAATAACTAATTAAATCATTAAGGAGTTCATTACTCCTTTGTCCAAAAATATCGGGTATAACTGATTAATTCAACCAAACTACACTGACTCTAGCTTACATTGTATTTAACCTGGAAAGTTTTTAATTTTTATTTTAAGACATTTAAGGAGCAAAATAAATGACTACATAGAAAAAAGATAGTTAAAAAAAACAAAATAGATGAAAACATATCAGTAAACAGAATTTTCAAAAGTTTTCAGTGTTTAATTTTTTCCCCATCTTTTCAATTATATTTCATATACATGAGTATCTACATACACACACATACAAACATATTTACAGCAATACCTGTTTATGATGTAGTTTTCTCATTTTATTTAATCTTTGGAGCATCCTTATTTTCCATCCGAGGATAAATCTCTCACACATTAAGTGCTCTCTGTCCCTTTTTATCTACCTTGTCCCATTATTCACATGAAATTGGAAACTTGTACAGTATATAACTTCTCATGAACCGATTTCATCCCTAACTCTGCTTACCTGGAGCTTTTCTAATCTCACCTTAAATAGTCAGTGCTCGTTATTCAGCTATAAAGTTATCCCAGTATTCTTTGGTAAGCGTATAAAATACTCTTTAGTGTTGCCTTAAACTTCTTATTATATATTCTGTGAACCTTAAGCAAACAGATGATACTAAAAAGGAAACCAAAGCCATCACATAATGTATAAAGTTGTCATAGCAGCATCTCTAGCTGACTTTTTCCTCCAGATAATCAAATATTGGGGAATGGGATTTTCAGGAATATAGTGAAAATATTGCAATAATTGCAAGTGCTTCTTGGTTGAAAATGTTCTTTGCCAAGTGTTTTGGTTTGTAAAAGTCAGAATGTCTTACCATTGGCTATTCTATGAATGCAATTGATGTGAGTGAAATCTAAAACATTGGCAGAGTTCTCTCTCTCTCTCTCTCTCTCTCTCTCTCTCTCTCTCTCTCTCTCTCTCTCCATCCACATAGAGAGAGAGAGAATGTGTGTCCTTCTTCAGAAAGCCTACTGAATAAGCAAAATCCTATATCAAGTAAACCACTACAATTGCCTTAATTAAAAATGAGCTGTATAACTATGGCCTGGAGGTTCTCCTATAGTTGCACACGAGAACCTCCCCACCCCTTTTACTTGGCATTTAGTAATTTTGGTGGAAGAAGGTAGCAGGGAATCCCTATACTATACTAAAAGGAATCATTTTGACTTGGGCCCCTGAATAAATCTCACTGGATTCCGCAGGCAGATTGATATCTCAATTTTCCAACTTGTATGTTACCTCGTCCCTTTAATTTATTTGTAGGTGCCAGATTATATAAGAGACATAAAAAAATCACTACTTACATTATATATGTCATTTGCATTTTGAGAAGGCTTGGATTCAGTAGAGCGATTGCTTAGCTGGAAAAATATTGACAAATATGTAATATAAGAGCTTTTACTCACAAAACTGTCCATTTCTATTCCAAAGGCCACTAGGGATTTATAAAATAGTGACAGTGTATTACTGAGCCTTCAGCGAACACTATATATTAGCTCTTTCCAACTGGACACCCTCCAAATGTATAATAATAATAATAATAATAATAATAATAATAATAATAATAATAATAATAATAATAATAATGATGTTGGACGGGATCTTGGAGGTCATCTAGTCCAATCCCTTGCCCAGACAGGAAACCCTATACCAATGATGGCGAACTTTTCAGAGACTGAGTGCCCAAACTGCAACCCAAAACCCACTTATGTATCGTCGGGTGGTGGGTGGGCGTGACCCATTGGGTGGGTGTGGTCCATTGGGTGGGCGTGGCTTTGGTGGTAACGGCAGACTGGGTGGGACTAAAAAATTCAATCAATGAATTCCAACTGCGAGATCTTTTTTTCCCGCGAGTTGAAATTGATTGATTGAACCTTTTTTTTTTTGCACACGGTGGCGGAGGCCTAAAGCGAAAAGGTTTTATAAAAACCAGCTGAAGGCCTAGGACTGGGGCGACAGTGCGCGTGCCCACAGAGAGGGCTCTGCATGCCACCTGTGGCACGCGTGCCATAGGTTCCCTATCACGGCCCTATACCATTTCAGACAAATGGCTGTCCAATCTCTTCTTAAAGACTGGAACTGCATTTCCCAGAATTCTCTAGGAGTAGGACACTAAGTTACGGTAGGCTGCTAAATTTTCCTTTATTTCATTTTTAAAAATGCCTTAACTCTGGTCCTGTCCAAAAAAACAAACCTATAGCTAATAGTTAAAAGTAGAATATTAAATAAAACAAAAACAAAACAGTTGTTCAAACTCTTAAATGTAAGATTTATTATTAACGATTTCCCATCTTTTCCAAACTGTTTACAAACAATGTCTACCTAATAGTCTTCCCAACTGAATATGTCTCCTCACTGAATGTGGAACTTCAGCTTCCATAATACTGCAAGGCAATGTGGCCACTGCAGGATAAAATCCAATATAGCTAGCAATCACAGGATTGGGGAAAGTGATGCAAATCTGCAACATCTGAGAGTAACAACTAATAATGTAGGAAACATTTTGACTGGGTATTGAACTTTGGGATAAGATACAGAAGGATAATCTTTCTATAATAGTTATATGAGAGACATTGCAGTGTTATAGAACTGTTGCAGTGAAAGTTGATTTCACGGAGTAATTTCTCTTAATTTTATATCATTAAGATTTACATCAACATTCAAACATACAATCAAAGGGATTAAAGTCACAGGGACCTTTTTTCTTTCAGGTTCCTCTGTGTGTATGTAAAACAATAAAGAAATCTCTTTCTGAAAATATCTTACCTTTACTTTCATGAAAAGGGCTGTGATGATGATAGCATATATTAAAAGGATCCCATCCAGAATGTAGCACAGCTTTGGATCTGCTAATCCCAGTGCATCAGCATCTGTTTTGTTTTGTTTAAAAAAAAAACCAATAACTAATGGGTCAGTTCTACAGAGAAAGGATTTAAAGCAAACCATGAGCAAACCAGCTTTCATAAACTAGTACTCTCAAGATTACAATTCCTACTTTCTCAACTAGCATGCTCAATGACTTTTAAGCAACTTCCATTTTTGTCATCTCATGGGGATATTAGAATAACAGTTACACATTGCCATGCATGTTTTACAGATCTGGCTATTATTAATAAAAAAGTAACTTGTTGCTGAGGTGATATAAAGCCCTCATTGTTATCATTTTACATAATAATGGTTCAATGATTCTAGAGCACGAAACTCGCCGCATCATATGACATGTCGCGATGTATCACAACGTTTTTTGCATTGCCGGAGCTGGGGTGGGCGCAGCCTCCGCATGATGCAACCAGCTTGCGGGCTGGCAATTTGACACCCCTATTCTACAACATCCAGGTTCCCCAGAAAAACATCACACTAAAATCCCAGTAAAATTAATGGGCCATAGATCATTGCAACTACTGTAATTTGTCCTACTGATTTTCAATGGATCATAATCAACACTAACGTTTTTCAAGATTTGGGCCATGTTCTTTATTCCAAATACAATTGAGGCCAACATTTAATGCTTCAATAATACTATTTACAGCAGAAATAGGCAATCTTATTTTAGCCAATCTTATTTTTGTCTTTAAGTGATATTGTTAAGGGCTGAAATCCTAAAGATCAGTACATTAAAAAAGAAAAACTTAAGTGGATTACATATATACTTTAATTAAATATTAATCCTTTATATAATAATTTCCCTTATTTGTGACAATTAAAAATTATAGTTCTTCAGCAGCATTAAGAAAAACTGTGAAGCTCACTCAGGATTTTGTTTTGCTCCCTGATCTAGAAGTATTTCAATATTTGTTTATTATTTATTAGATCCATAATGTGTCTGTTTTGTTACTGAGAGATCTCTAAAACATGCATCCAATATCTAAAGATATTTCACTTCATGCTGCAGTATTCTTCTTCAGCTTGTGGCGTGATTAAAATATTGGACTTAGACAGAGAAAACCCAGGTTTATGCCCCCACTTGTTCACAAAGGTCACTGGTTGACTTTGGACCATGATTCTCAGCCCAACCTACTTCACAATGCTGTAATTATAGGAATAAAAATAGAGGAGATCTGCACATATGCCACCTTGAGATTGATGGGGGGAAAGGGGGTTAAATACACCAAATAAATAATCCTATGCTTAAAAGCAGCTGAAATGTTATCAAAAATACTTATTTGTTTTAACATATGAAATTATCCTTCCAAAGTTCTGGGCAGTTTTTTGTTCTAGATCCAATGTAATTATTTTTAGAAATGTTTACATCAACTGCATTGAAGAATAAGCATGCGATAGACCAACTTTCTCTTCTATTGGTACCACAGCAACAGCTATTCAACACAAGAGAAAAAGAAAATAGCTACATTGGATATTCTTAACATAGTCAGTGGCTATCTTCACAGATCATGCAAGTATGGTTAAATACATAAACCCCACTTGATTCTGGTCACATAAAATATTAAGCCATAGCCATGGTTTGCAAACCACAGTGGTGGAATATCTCTGTGTGCATGCTGAGTCACAAACTCTATGTTGTTTATAGAGTTCAGAGAATCCATTTTTCACTCATTTAATTTAGAAGAATATGACACAATTCTCTAATGTCCAACCATCTCCCTCTTTGATATTCTCTGGAAACTGTAACCTTAGTTTTAGTTATTTACCTTGGCATTACTCAGTTAAATAAGAAATGAAAGCACTAAACTTAACTTTCAGATATATTAATTAGTCAACATTTTTCTCACTTGATTTTTTTCCACTGATACTATTTGTCACTGTCAAAATGCTTTGAAATATATTGTCCACTGGAATCAGTGTAGATCAGAGGTCCCCAACCCCTGGTCTAGCACCGGGCTGTGGCACGCAAAGAAGCGAAGCCCCATCCGCTGGATGCAGGCAGCACCCGAAACTACGCCTCCTCTGGTCCGTGGAAAAATCTTTCTCCACAGTACTGGTCCCTGGTGCTCAAAAGGTTGGGGGCCTCTGGTATAGATCGTGGTATACTTTTTTTTTCCAAACTGACGGTCCTATTTGGCCTATCAATAATATGAAATGTTCTTACTCCAAAAATAAGATAGGTGGAGCTTAAGACAAAAATTAAATTGTATCTAATTGAATGGAAATTTAAATTAAAAACCATGCAATTGATGCCATCATTTTCATATATGTTTAATAGTTTTTCCATTTTGTCATGTTAAAATATAATCAAATTGAATGTTTTGGAGGATCTTTAGAGGCTGTATCCAAGGTTTTGGGGTGAGAGCAATGTCTTATGCAGCCCCATAAGTGCAAATTACACATCCCTGGTATAGAGAATGCTAAACTAGATGAAAAAAAGGATAAAGCTTTTATCAGGATAAAACTGTTTCCTCTGTTCCATTTCTACTGAGCAAGCCACCTGCCTTGTGGTTTTCTGAGTTGAGAGATTCATTTAGGCAGGATTCTCACAGCTGCCTCATAGTACCATCTATTATCATACTGTTATGTTGATGTAATATAAAGCCTCTCCTCATTGCTATTATTTTTGGTACAGTGATGGTTTAATGGTGCTATAGGATGCTATAAAATCAATGCTGCATTACTTTGCTTAAAAAGATGCCACAAACTCACTTTTGGAAGAAACAATTGAATGGAAACACATCTTTAAATCTGTATTTAATCAACTAATAAATATTTTCCATTCTCTTAGATAAATACAAATCTGGCATCAAAGTACTCACTGATCCATTGAGATGAAACCCACTCCTCTTTTGTTTTCATGAGGGTCATTACATTGAATACATTTAATGACCCTTGAAGGAAACTTTATATGCTAGAGTTAAAATGGAGCTCAGATTGACATCAGCATAGAGTTCCCTTAATTGATTGTGGTATGCAGTGTGGTTACTCAGAAATGTTTTCAAACCTCTCCTTTCAAGACTGACAGCTGGGGCGCCTTCCTGCAAGGTTTCCTTTGCTAAGTTTCTGTATGAAGATTGTGTATTAGGCCAATGTAGTTCTTGGACTGACAAAGGGGGAAAGTTTTGGAACAGTAATAATATTAATAATTAAGACTGAATTCCAGGAAATAGGAAAACAGATGCTGAAGAAAGGTAGGTTCACTCTCCTCCTAGTAGAGAAATACTCTTACAATTTACTGAAATCTTCATAGCAAATATTGAGCATCCAGCAAGCATGCAAAGCTGGAAGAAGTATTATCCCCACATCTGTCATCTAGGTTTGCCAAGGTGTCCACTAGCAACCAAATACATGTTTCTTGATGATCTGGAACAGCCTTTCCTAATAGATTCTCTCCAAATGCATGTCGCTTCCAGACTTAACAAGCTCACACACATTACTGAGAAATTCCACGTATGCTCAAGTTAGTAAAGGCTATTCCCCCTCCCCACACACAAAAAGAATAGGAGAACAACAAAGTACTCCCTCAAACCACTTGCCAAATGGAATTCAGTTCCCAGAATTCTTCAACAGCCATGACTATCGCTGAGAACTGAAGTCCACATTTGGAGGGCGCCCTGGTTTGGGAAGGGTGACCCAAATTAATGCTAAAACATAATGAACAAACAATTTGGCTTATATCTGGCTTATATCCCAAATTCTTGGAATACCAAAAGTCAGCATGCCCTGACGCTTGTTATGGATGGCTCGTCTGACTTTTCATAATGTTTCACAGTAGACTTCTGAATTGAGGGTCAAACCATGCTCCATGAACTTCACTAGCAGTACTCCTTTGGCATTTTCACATTTGGCGGGATTTTCTATGGCACCACTTCCGGTGTGGTGTTGGTTCACGATAATGCTTGCCCGCATACCGCTAGACCACCCAAGAACTTTTGAAGCAGTTCCGTTGGGATGCTTTTGATCACCCCTCCCCAAAGCCCAGATTTGGCACCGAGTGACTACTACTAAGGAATTTCAATCCTTGTAAGATGTTATGACATGGCTCAATTTGAATGGCAATTATGTCAATAAGTAATATAATGTTGTAGTTTTCTAATATGTATAATAAAAGTTGTGTATCTGTAAGTGTCTGTCAATGATAACTAAATGGAGGTTTATTTCTGAACTGCCCTCATCTATAACCCACAATAGTTGTGTTCATAGTAAGCAAATCAAGCAAGCAAATTATAGTGTATTACAGAAAACACCATTGCTTGTATTATTCTGATCTTTGTAGGCTATACCTACACATTACGGTATCCGAACATCTTTTCCAAGGTCTTTGCTACTGCTCTACGTTGCTGGTCTGAAGCCCTTTTCTTGGCTGCTTATTTCTTTACTGTTGATAGTTGATTCTAAAAGGTAGACATTATCTACTACTTCAATAATTTTATCATCAGTTGTAAGGCTGGTTGTTATACCTGTTGTCATTAGTTTGTTCTTCTTAATTTTAACCCCAGACCACAGATGTGTCTTTTAACAAAGGAAAAAGGATGCAACCTCATTTTCTCCACTACAAGATTTTTGACAGAGAGTGAAGAAATAAATCCTGATTCAGCTTACCCTTCCAAACAATCAAAGGATGGGATTCTTTTCTTTTAATAAAAATGTTTAATAAATGCAAAGATTTCCAGAGCCAAGACATATTTTATTAGTATACTGATGTTACCTCATTCAATGGCTTGATGTAGATCTAAACAGGAGCAGGGCAACTACTGGTCTCTGTGGAAACTCACAAAACAGGAACTGGATTTCTTCCTGTAATCAACACTGATTTGACCATGCTCCAAAGAAGAGAAATAGCACAATACAGTAAAATACACTCCCAGCCCCTAAAGTCAGTTCAGGATATCATGAACAATGGTATCAAAAGCTGCCTATAGCTTCTCACAGTCAAGAAATAAAATGGATATACCACTCCCATCCTGCTCACATCACAAGCATAATCAATGCTATTTCAGTCCCATCCAGGTCTGAATCATAACTGAAATGGTTCTCGAGTACTTTGAAGCTGCAAAATGGCCATCTTCTCTACAACCTTCCCCAAAAATGGAAGGTTGGAGTCTGGACAAAAATATTCAGTACTGTTGGGTTTGATAATAGTTTCTTGAGGAAGGGATAAACCAAGAAATGGTGAGGAAAAAAAAGGAAGAATTCACCACCATTAAAACCCAGTCACACATCACCTCCAGAAGGTCTTAGCCAACCAAGATGGCTATGGATCAGATAGCCAAACTAACAATTATGAGAACCCTTAATCTTACTGAGGTTTATTTCCATTCAAGGAAATGTGAAAGTGGCATTCCCACTCATAAATCCTCAATCAATGGTTCTTGTTTGGGGGCAAACCTAAGTTTCTTGTCCATGTTCAAAGTTTCCATGGATTTAAAAAAAATATACTGACAATATTCCACCAGTAAACTATATGAACTTTCAGGCCTTCTTTGTAGGTATATGTACCCTCACTGAGTTATTATGCCAGAGTATTTCCTATTAAACCCACTGTGTTTCTATGAGAGATGATAGACCTAGCTGAAGGTCAAG